TATATGTCAATGAAATAAACAGTTCTGTTCCAGTCGGATATAGTCTATTGATAAATTATACTAGTAAACCTTGGATAAATCCAGAACTGGGTGGGTCTGTGTATAAATATTTTTATATGGTATATACATTATGTTTTAAAAAGTGATAAACAAAATGTAATAGGTACCTATACTCCGTACCAAATAAGAGTGCACCAGGCGGCCACAGGCAAAACCGGTTTTGTTACRTMGTTTGGTGCGCTCTTATTTGGAACAAGGTATACATAGTTGTTTGCTATGTATTACATTTTTATTTGTCTATGTTTATTAATTGTTTCTAGAGATTTTATCTCCACAAAGACCCCCTGCTCCTCCTACTGAATACTTTCAAGTAAATATTGGTGGATTTGATCCAGAAAATTTGATTAGTAGTAAAAAAGAACCTGTGAGGTTGTCTGGATATGTTGGATGTGTACGAGGATTAAAAATAGACGATTTTGTAGTCAGTTTTAGCAGTCTCGGATTAGCAAATTCTTCATTTAATACTTCTAAAGAAAAAGGTATTAGTTTAAATCATAAGTATTTATAAGTAATAATTTTTTTTAATTTTTAAATTATTTCAATCTTGTAGAACTTAGAGGCATAATATCTGGCTGTAACATGAAATGTGACGAGCAACAGCCTTGTAAAAACAAAGGTATCTGTATAGAAAATTTTGAAAAAGGTGGTAGTTCATGTGATTGTGAGCATACATCTTATTATGGAGATTTTTGTGGTTTAGGTAATGACATTTTTTAATTTTTTAACCTTCTTACTTACTAAAACTGGTAAAACTTCTTGAGTTTAGATAAAGGAGCAGATTTTAGTGGCGTCTCTGTCTTACGGCGAAAATTTCTTCTTGAAGGACCAGTCACGCAAGTAAAGTTAAATCTAGCTTTTTCAAGTAGTGACAAGAGACAACGAAGCACAGTTTTATTGCTTATCCAAACAGAGAACAAGTATGTTGACTGTTGTTTGAATTTAAATAAATAATCAATAGTTTACAATAAATGTATTGGTTTTAAACTTTTTTTTATGTATATTATTGTTATGTATTACCTAATCATATATTATAGTCTATGGATTATCGCCACAATTTAAGATGTACTATTAATTTAAGTCATGATTATTACAAATATAAAATTTTATAAAATTGTTATGTAGGAGAAGTTACTATCTTATTGTTGCATTAAACGAAAAAGGTGAAATGGTATTTGAAGAAGACCGTGAGGGAACAGGAGGAGCATTTGGTGCACATATTAAAGACAGAAACTTTTTAAATGGAGCGAGACACTCAGTCTACTATAAACGTACTGAATCCAGTTCAATACTTATGGTAAATTATGTTTACTTTATGAGYAATACACTAATACTTATGTACATGTATATGAATGCATTTGTGATTTAAGATTTATTTATAAATTATATTAACTATTTCTTTGTCAAACATAGGTTGATAGAGATCCTATAGAACTAAAAAAAATTCCAGTTCTAAGTTTAACTGATACATTAACAGATATCACTGCTGGAGATAATGAAGTACAAATTGGTGGACTTAATACAACTGACCCACGATTTGCTTCTTATACAAGTTATAGTGGATGCATTTCAAGTACATAATATTTGTATATTTTAATTAACATGACAAAATGTAGGATACTTATTCGTTGGGCAGTTGGGCTTTAACCATCATATTGTCTTAGACTTAAATTACAATCATAATTTTATGTGGTACTATATATATTTTTTTATTTACCTGAATTTAGATGTACCTATATTATTCTATAATTTTACTTTAATTATAGTTACTGATACATATCCATATATATTTATTATTTAGGTAATATTTAGTTAAATTAGATTAATTTTAAATAATTACTTTAATCATACTCATGGTAATTATTTACTACAACTTAGTTGTCAACTTATCAATCATAATTATAAATATTAAATACTAATTATGCAYACATTTATTTTGTTTATATAAATTATAATACATTTAGTGAAGGTTAATGGCAAATAAATCATATGTACAATATACATTATTATAAAATAAGTATATATTTTAATTTTAGATGTGTTTTTGGAAGTCAATTATAATGCAATGAGACCTTTAGACGAATATATGCTATTCACAAAAACTGGTAGTGAGAAAGTAAATGTAACAAATTCTCAAGGAGTTCGCAGTGCTCAATGTGCTTCTTTTGATGATATACATAAACCTAGACCTGGTCCTTCACTTAATATAAGCTATGTATGAATTTTTTATTGTTATTATACCTACTATTATTTATTATACCTTAATGCATTTTTTTTTTTGTTAGGGAGTAGATCAAACTTGGGTTTTAGATCCTCCAGCTCGCATGCCTTATGATTCTAAGTATGCAAAAGTATTTACACAACAGGATAATACATTTAATGGTAAGTTACAATCATGGCCGTATTCAGGGGGGGGGTTCAAACTCTCTCCGAAATGTCATCAGTCATCAAAAATATTTCTATTGAATTTCCTCGTTAATCCTAAAGGCACAGGCATATAGAACGCGGTCTTGTCGCGGCGGTCTGCGATACAGTTGTAATTAAATACTAAATTTGACCTTGGCCGCCACGATATCACAGCCCGTYGCGAGTTCGCGACAGACCACGTCCTGTGTTCCCGGGACAACATCGCGTAAATTAAATATAGAATACAATTATAATAAAATATATGTGACGTTATCGTATCACCAACCGAAGTTTATAGACAATAGACACAATAAATGAATGTTTCGTGTAAAGTGTAAGTTTGTTATTTTTAGTATTCTTTTATTTCGTTTGTGTAGCATTGTGTAAACAGTTACAGACAATAAATGCTGATTTGGTCGAAGCATGTAATCATGTATATTATGTGTTAGCAATTTTGGACGAAATGAGAGAAAATAACAATAAACATTTTTCAGACATGTTTTCCGTTGCTGCAATAATGATGAATAAAAATAAAGAAGAAATAGATTTTCCTCGTTTTGCTAATAGACAAACAGTATAATTAAAAATAAAAACTTATGTATTTAGAATAATGAGGTCAATTTATTCTGTATTTTTGGTACATTAAATAATGACATGGTTATATTAAATTAAAATTCATAAAAATGATGGTGTAGTTTTATATTATAATGAACCCCCCCCCAAAAAAAAAAAAAAAAAAAAAAAAAAATTAATCCTGGATACGGCCATGGTTGAAGTATGAGGGCAACCTTTTGAAAAAATATATTTACCTATGCAGTATAATATGTTTAATATCTAAAATTATATATGTATTATGTATATAAAAATGTACGGTAAAAAACACTTAAAATATTTAGATTAGGATTTACTGATTATGAATGAGATTAGTTTTCAAGCATTTATTTATAAAACTAATAATATAAGAATTTTTCATCTGTTTTAATAGTTGTGGCAATGGTAATGGCAAGTATTTTATCGTTTGTTATAATATCCGTGTCATACCATGCATATCATACCAATGTTAAATGGAAGAAACGACGAGATGAAGAAATTAATGCTGAAATAGCACGAAATAAACGACAGTCAATTCAAATGCAGGAGGGATACAAACTTGTAAAAGTAAAATACAGTTAAATATTTATTAAGTTTACTAATGTACTTAATAACACAGTTATGATTTATTTTCAATTAATATTTAGGAGGATAAACTTCAACTTAATGGAATAAATATGGAAATGAAATCGTTGTCTAAACAGCCATTGCCTATTGTTCGATTTTACACTCCGGATGAAGATAATGATGGTTTAAAAGGAAAAGAATTACGAATCGAGCCAAGATTGAAACATTCGGCTATAAGAGGTATATATTTTTTTAATAAAAGATTATAAAAACTATAAAAATTAATTGTATAGGATATTTACCCAAAGTAGACAAAACATGGGAGCCTATTGAAGAAACATCTGAAATATTAGAAGAAATTACTGAAGATAAAAAGTAGCATCAATTAATCTTACTGATAATCATAAGAAAAATGCATTTTATATCATAAAACTTTTATTGTTCATCATTTTATAAAGATAGGTATTTTAATAAAAAATATTTATTTCATATCTGTATACCTATTTAAACGAAGTACCTACTTTTGTTTTATTTGTAAKTACCTGTATACTAAAGTTAATGTCTGTTATTTGATTAATATACATATTTATGAACTCCATACAATTTTTTCTTCACGAGGCATTATATTTCGTCTATGTGACCATATGTCCATATAAGTAAATAAAATAAAATAAATAAAAATAATTTATTTAGTTTATGTAATATTACTTATTAACTATTCAATAAAGAATGCGAGTAACTACAAGTAGTATAACTGGATAAGTATAATTATGCAATTACATCTTGTGATTTGTAATTGTGAAGTACTATCCACTACTTATACAGTGTTAAAAAAAATAAATAAATAAATAAAAAATTTTACGGTAGGTAATTGCTTTATAGTTTTAAAATAAAATATATTATATATTTATGTTTTTGTTATTAAGTGATTTAATGTACAGGAA